ATTACTGTTATTGTTATGTTTGTTTGTAATCCACCTTTTCTTTCCAAAAGGAGACTCATTAGAATTATATGGTCAGTTATCATGAACTTCTTTTTATTTGTTTGCTGGACTTAGTTGTTAATAGCAATTTATTAGATGAGCTGTGATGAGAATTTGGCATTAAATTATTCTTTTTTTATTTTCCAACTTTCTGTCTTCTTGAGTAGTTTAGCTGCATCCTTTCTTTACCATTCTTGATTTTTGAGTACTTATTTGTTTACCCCCCCCCCCCCCCGTCTCTCTGAACGTTATTGTATTCTGACAATTGTTGTTAGATATCAGATTTGCTTTCTCATTTTGATATAATTTTATTTAAAAAAACATTTCTAGTTCTTTTACTTGACTATATGTAAGATTCATATTAGTCAAGCAAGCAAATAATTTAATTAACTTATAAAACATTATAGTTTTAACATTTATTACCATTAAACTACACAATAGTAAATGGTAATTTAAGCCAATTCACGTGAAATCTCTTTGTAGCAGTAAAGCAAATCTACATGATGCTTCTAGGGACAGAGTTAGAACAGTTTGTTAATATTTACCATAAGACTTCCACATAAGATTTTGTAATTTTGAATGTAGTGAGAGCTAGCCTGATTCACTAAAAAGACTTATAGAATCATAGAATCATAGAATCAAAGAGTTGGAAGAGACCTCATGGGCCATCCAGTCCAACCCCCTGCCAAGAAGCAGACTAAGGTTTCTGATAATTAAATTTGACCTTTGCTGTACTATACAGAGTAGTAGTAAGTCAACTCTGAAAGCGCTTCCAGACAGTGCCAAAAATAGAGGGCAAAAAATCCCACACAGACCTTTTAATCCCGGTATTGGGTCCCCCACTATCCTCACTGTCAGGTATTTCTTCAAACTGAAGCAGAGTTTCTCAGCTCAAACGACATCACCTGGCACCAACTTATTCTGTTATTCTGTTCTTATATACACTTGCATGAAGTAATGTTGCATTCATGCTTTCATTACCTTATACACTTAATGCAAACCTAACTTCAGGGTTTCATTATCCTCATATTTAATCACTGTAACTATGACTTGGCACTTACAATACTTAAAGTAACCCAACATTTTATCTTCAAAATATTTTAGTATATTTTAAAACTCCAACACTCACAGGCTTCCTCCATATCAAAACAAGATGGAGAGCAGAAGGGAGACATCCAGCAGAAGGTTGTTTTTTTTTTAAGAGCACTCTGTTCTGTGCTGGACTGTATATGCACACATGAAAATATCTTTAAATAAATATAAGCAGATTTGTATGTGCACATATGAGGTCCAGCGCATAACGGAGTGATTTAAAAAAAAAACTTCTGCGGGATCTCTCTTTCCTCCAGTTGTTAATTCAAGCTCTGTTTAATATTATAAAGTTTAAAAGAAAGAGTTTCAGAGAGTTCTAATTGCTCTCATTTTGTGCATACTTTAAACCTGTGGTGTATCTGTTTGACAACCAGATCAGCTGTTTTAGACTTTTTTAAAGTGCATGTGTGCTGAAGCAGTCTCCATGGGGGGGGGGGGGGATAAAATCATATGTTTTTCGCAAGTGTAGACATATACAGTGATATGCAGAGAATATATGCCTTTTTGTCCAAAATTGGGATATAAGCAGACCTTTTTAACGTGTTTTTCATCCATTGCAGTGAATCAGTGTGGATTTACTGCTAGCATCATTTAACTGCCAACCCCTCCTCTTTAACCCAGTGTCTTCCTCATTTTAGATGCTGTGTAGAAGGGCCCTGAATATTTGAGGTTCAGTGTTGAAGCTTCCATACCCTCCAATAATCCTAATTTTGCAGGGATAGTCTTGATTGGAACCCTCTTTCAATGGCTTTAAAATGTTTCAGTTTCCTTTCCTTCTTTTTTCTTGACTTACTTCAGTTTTAACAATGGAGTTCAAAGGGCAAATGTAGTTGCACTTAGTAAAGTAGGTGTAGAAGAAGAGAGGAAATGGGAGGACTAGTGATCTGGGTTTCTGAATCATTCTTTGAAATTAGGAGCTGGATCAAATCAAGTCAGAACCAGTCTAAACGAAAATAATACCTAATTACAATGAGGCTTCATGGCGAATAAGGGTTTCTATAGCTCAAGGCTTGATGCTCACTGCTGAGGAATGGGATAAAAAATTAGGGAAAGAGTAATGCAGAAGCATTGCAGTAAGTCACACAGCAACTAAATGTGTTAGGAATTATTTTGTTAAAGGAATGTGTTTTCAGGAAAGGTGAAAAAAGGATGAGAGAAGCAGCCTACTGAAGAAAAGATGATGGCAAAGCTGTTCAGGTTCAGGGAGTTTCCCTACTGATTTATCAAACAGAACTGACATTTGGGTTCCTAACAAACAGAAACTTTTCTAAATTGGTCCCCATAGGAAGCGCTCTTACAGACAATGGACAGAACCTAGAATAATTGGTAGGAGAGATTCCATTACAAAGAAACCTTCAGAGCACTGACTTCAAATCACTTGAAACAGCATAATCCCAGTAAAATAAAGGGTCAATTTTAACAAGGAGACCACAAAGAACAATTTTAAAAACCATTATGACCAGGACCTTGTTGGTAGTGTCAACATTTTTTCTAAAATGTTCTCCTTATGAAATCTAAGGTTCTTTTAGTATTGATTCAGGAAACAATTTCACTCTTTGTTACAGCAACAGTTGTCTGAATACTGCACTGTAGCTTATGCACTTTACTGTATCATGTAATATACAGGTGTATATATTTTGATATAAATTACCTGAATTAGTACTGAGAATCTCTCATTTGATTTCATGGGTGTTTTTTAAAAAAACATAATGGTTGCATACTACCTTGTGGATCCTTATGGTAAAAAATATATGGAATAATGTACAAACGATAGTGATTAAGCAGCACAGCTTTAGAAGCAAGACTCATGCTTGGAGCAAACTGTTGATATTAGATGACCAACCATATAATAATGAGACCAGACACAGTTGGATTAAACAAGAACCAGTGTATAAATATGAGCAAAACCCTTGTTCTGCCTCAAGAGAAGTCTCATTCCTCCCCACCCAAATCCCAGGAGCTGTGGAGACCAATTCAGAGCTGTACCCCTCACCAAAAGGGTGCCAAAAATGAGCACCAAATTCTTATTTTTTTTCTTTCCAACTGCTTGCCAGAAACAAAAAAACAGGCAGCTGCTTAGTTTTTTCCCCCACAAGGCCATCCAATAAGACACTTAATCCCTATTGCAAATCTCCCAGATATATCAAATTGCCTTCAACTGACTAATGAATTGTCATCAATCCTATAGAAGTCTTAGCAGTGAAAAACAATGGGCCCTTCTACACTATTATAAACCCCTGGATAAACTGGTTTATTTTAACCCAGTTCTTCCTGAGTTGCTGTCCCCACCCCCAATGCAAACCCCAGGCTTTCCCTTGAGGGGGTGGCTAGATGCCACCCTGCATCAAGCAATGAATGACCTGGGAGAGCATCCAGCTATCCCCCAGCCCTCCTTTCCCCCTTCAAAATCTTACCTGAGAGGTCTGCCAGGAGTGCAGGCCCCTCCTGAGGGTATTCCTGATGCATGAAAATAATGTGTCAGGAGGTGGTGGGGAGGAAGGAAATCCCTCCACCTCCTCTCCTCCCCCCACCTCCTGATGCATCATTTTTGTGCATCAGAACTCTCTGGACAGGCCTGTGCTGCCAGCAGGCCACTCGGATAAGGTTTTGAGGGGGAAAGGAGGGGCTGGGGGGAGGGAGTGCGCACCATCCTGCTCCTTCAGACTCCAGGAACCTGAAGAACCAGGAACGGCTGTGGGACTTGACCCCCTAGGACTGCGGAAGTCAACCCCCCCTCTATTTGTTCCATTTTGCCAGTAATTACAGGCAACATGGAGGGGGCGTGGGGTGCCTTGTGGTGGCCCGCATGCCTGCCCTCCTTCCCCCATTACATAGGCCATTAGGGCAAGGTGCAATTCCTTCTCCCATCAGACAGGGGAAAGTGCAGAATCACAGCTTGTTGTATTGCTGGGTTGCCATTTCCCCCATCCATTGGAGCTACCCAAAAGACACAAGGCTCACTGTAATTGGCAAAGAAGCTCTTTGCGACACTTCTTCATTACTTCAGCCATCTGTGGGGTGGGGCCGCGGTCTTTGTCATGTGATGGCATTCATCAGGATCTGTGGCTGAAGAGAAGTTATTTTAAAATGGCTATCAGAGCATTAGAGGACACACATGCATCTTGAAAGTAGATCTCCAGCATCTAATTCATTTAATAGACTGATGACCTGTTTCATTTCCCAAGTTTTTAATAAAAGGTCTGCTAAAATATATTGAAATGTTCTAATTTTAAGTGGCTTAGGAATCTATTTTTCTTGTTATTTCTGCCCCAGGCACTGTATCTGCTGTTTAAAAAATGCCCTGCAATCGTTCTCCTTTGTTAGCACATGAGAAGCCTTTGTGGAGCAAAAAAGGCTTCAGTAGCAAACATTATCGCTCAACATGTGAGAGATTTGTACAGACACAAAGATGAGTTTAAACGTGTAGGAACTCAACCCATTCTAATCGTGTTCCTCTGCCCTATGACTAATCCTATGCAGCCCTGGTATGCCATGAGAGGTGTATCCATACACGCAATATCTGAAATCCAAATTGTATCACAACTGCTCAAAAGTAATGCCCATTGAATTCAGTAAGACTTATTCTCAGATAAGTATGCCCAATGTTTATTTATTTATTTCTAGTATTTCTATCCCATCCTTCTCAACCCCCGGAGGGGCACTCAGGATGAAAAGTAAATATCAAGGATGTAGATGTGTTAAAACAATATCTAGGAAATGCTGCTTTGTGAGGATATTTGACTGTTAAAACTGGTTACGGAAACTTTATTTTTGACAGTGCCATTGTGGAACAAATTAATTTTACCTAATTTGGTAAAGTAATTTTGGATTAAGGAAAATTTCAGCTGTTTCCCATTTTTTCATTCCAGTTTCTCCAAAGATAAGTCATATCTCAAACGACATTGTGGTGAATGAAGGGAGCAACGTTACACTGGCTTGCTTGGCTACAGGAAAACCAGACCCTTCCATCTCATGGAGGCATATCTCTCCGTCGGGTATGTACTAAACCTAATCTGATTCATAACATTTTCTCCCTTACAACATATACAATTTTATATGAAAGGATAGCAAAATTTCAGGTGCCAATGTAATATTATTAAGTATAAATCTCAATTTCTTTTTACATCTGTTCAAAATGCCTAATTGAAACATTCAGTAACTTGAAATAATGATGAAGTCCGTTAGTCTGCCATATCACTTAATAATTTTCATTTTAGGATGATTATTTTGTTTCAAGTATTAGATTTGAATTCTGAATATTTTTTCTGTCACAATTCATGTTTTGTCTGTAGAAAGCTAAAGTCAGCAAATGACGGAATAAAGATTAAGCCCGTTTCCAAATGTTTGTGCCCCAAACAGGGGAAATGAATTGCCTCTACCCATCCTATATCTGTGCGTTTGCCTTATTTCTCCAAATCATTGAACACTATATGGATACAGGTGATGGAGTTGCGACCTAGGTTGCCTGAAAGCAATGCTAATCAGCACTTTGCTTTACAGAGAAGGGCTTGAAAGAATTACTAATAGTGACCTTTAAAGGAGCAACAATTAAACCTTTTAAAGTGACCACCAAGGGAGTAGAAAAATCAGTTACATCATAAAGGTGGTCTTTAACTAAATGTCAAACAAAATTGTGTTGGAAACCATGGGGAGTCTTTCAAAGTGGGAGCCTAGGACTTGAGTCCACCTTATGGCAACAGAGGACCTTAAGTATCACTGTTAAAATGACATTAACAGGACCATGCCACTAACTCGCAGTGCAACTTTAACACACAGAGGAATGTGAGGTTTCTCTCTCACACACACTGAACCTCTGGAAAAAACCCAGCAATATTCAAGGTTTTTGTAGCTATAAATCAATTAAGGCTACAGTTACATTCTAGCTGCACTTTGGCATAAACGCCTGGAAATGAATGCAAGTTAAAACACTTATTAGTGTCGAATGAAGCTGAACCAATAAAGGTGAAGCATTTATTCCAATAGTAAGGAAAAGCAAACAGTTATCTGGAATTTATTACTGCTGGGAATGAGTTTGAAATTTTTTTTATACATCCTTTCATGTATATTGAAAGAGGACAACAAGTAACAGATATTTATTCAGCTTCTACGTTCAAGGCATTTTTGTTGAATCTAAAAGTACATCTACACTGTGGAATTAAGGCAGCTTAAAAGCACTTTAACTGCCATTGTTCAATTATATGGAATCTCAGGAGCTATATTTTTTTTTGCCTTCTCTGCCAATGAGTGCCAGTGTCTTGTCAAAGTACAAGCCCAAACATTCCATAGCATTGAGTCATGGCAATCAAGGTGGTGACAAACGGTAGTAATCTGCAGTCCAAATGCACCCTGATTATTCAAACACCAACCATAAGTAGCGCAATACCCCCACCCCAAATATAAAATTGCAAACATCTCAAATTAGTGCTGGAGAGAACCTGAGGATCTCTGAGATGGTGGGGGGCTGCAGTAGAGTATGCTTATATTGTAGGCTCAGCACATCTTTGAACTGTAGTGGGCTGAATCTGTGGATGCATACCTTATGGATATGGCAGGCCAATTATATTCCATTTTTACACCAATAAATACTCAGGGTAACTAACAACTATACAAATACAGCATGAAATATATTGCATCTACCATTGAAATATAATGCATCTACCATTTCTATTAAACAGTAAACTTCCATATAACAATTTCCTTACTTCTGTAACAGAGGGCTCAGTACTTTTTCACATTTTCACTTAAGCTTGAAATCAGCATAATGAGCATGGCTGGTTGATACTTTATGGCAATCTAACTGAGATCTACCAGCATTTCATGGTGAAATAACTCTATATTTATTGAGGTCCACAGAAGCTCGTGCAATATGGATAATTCTATTTCCAGTTGTCATTTATTCCAGCTCACATAAAACATGTAGCTGAAGAGTTCTATGGATCCACATGAATGCAACTACAGCAATGAGACAATCTATTCTTGCTGTTATGTACCTTCGAGTCATTTCTGACTCATGGCAACCCTATTATAGGATTAGCTTGGTAAATCTTATGCCAATAGATGTGTTTCCCTCACCAAATTGTAGAGGCTAAAGAGTAGACAAAATATGGCTGGGGAAAAGGTAAACACCTACCACCCCATTTACAGTGGTAATGTAATGCTAAAGTATTCAAACCCTATATAGTCATTGTATATATAATGTAGAGGAGCAGGTACCTGTTAAGCATTTAATGGAAGGTTAAATGCTTACAGCAAAAATCCAGTTGAGAGTACTGCTCTGGAAAAGGGAACTGACCACAAAAGCTATGTTTTAGTTCTATGGCAGTGGTTCTCAACCTGTGGGTCTCCGGGTGTTTTTGGTCTACAACTCCCAGAAATCCCATCCAGTTTACCAGCTGATAGGATTTCTGGGAGGATTTCTATGGAGTCTATACAGATTTTATTGTGTACTGAGCATAAAATATAAGCATGTAGCCTCCCACCATCTCATGGATCCTCAGGTTCTCTCCAGCACTAATTTGAGATGTTTGTAATTTGATATTAGGGACACCATGAAAATTGTGGATGCTCCAGAGTCTGGGAGTGTCAGTGCAGATAAAAGGGGACAGATCATTCTCTTTTGCTGCCATTGCCACTCCCAGATCTCCCACCTTTTTCTTCTTGGTCTTGTGGGCACCTCTACTGATGTCATTACGGGGTGCCCATGACACCCAGGAACTCTCATGGAGCTCTTTGGTTATCTGGGATTGACAATGGCAGCACAGGTGGTCCAATGAGGCTGGTGAGGTTTTATCCCAGCTGGACTGTGTGGATGCCAACCTGCCACCACAGATTCAAGATGGTGTATGTGACTGTCTCTGGAACCAATCTTTAGCATTTCTGCTCTAGACTGGCCACAAATTAACTGGCCAGGGTACATGAGGCCCAAATAACACTATCATCGACAACCTTGCTCAGGCCTTTCAGATCTAGAACTGTGTCTTCTCTGTTTGAATTTAACCATCTGTAATGTGACTTTCCTCTTTTTCTACTGTCTTCCATCTTGCCTAACATTTTCATACTTTCTAGGGAGATATGTCTTCTGATATGGATAAAGTACATCAGCCACAGTTTAGTCATCTTATGGTGCATCCATAGTGCAGAATTAATTTGACAAAAATTTTACTTCCAAGATTCAGTGCTATGGAATCTTGGGAGATGTAGTTTATCAAGGTCTTATGCCTTCTTTTGACAAAGTATATTCATGCCTTACCAAACTACACCTTCTATGACTCCACAGCATTGAGACATGAGACATTAACTGCATTAATTCTACAGTGTAGATGCATATTCATGTACAGTTGTGAAGCTGAACAGTGAAGAAAACTGATACGAAGAAAGTCAATTCACTTCAGATGTAGTCCTGAGAAGAGTTCTGAGGATACTGTGGCCTGCTAAAAAGACAAATGAAAGGGTCCTAGAGCAAATAAACCTGAATTATCCCTAAAGGATTACAGCAGTAAAGTACCCATATAAGTGGAAATTCGGCTAGATATAGAGGTCGAAGATCAAAATCAATATGTAGCAAGATAAACAAAGGAAGAATTGGACTAATGTGAATGTTCAGTTTCCTGCTCAGTCATAGAAATCCACCTTGGGCAGGTAACATGCAATCTCAGAAAACCCTGTAATAGGTTTACCTTAGGGTTGCCATAAACCAGAAAGGACTTAAAGGCACACAACAACAGTGGAGAACTTGTCAACAGAATCATTTGACCTAAGACAATAAGAATGTTGGTCATAAAACAGTAATTTTCAACTTTTCTGAATCCAATATCCATACTTATTCCAAACATCTGTTGACTTTCTAGCTACTACTCAAATTAACATAAAGCACTCTATAGGATAGAATATTAATTCATTTCAAAGTTATTAAATGAGATACAAAATTCCATAATTCTGAGTACAAATTATACGATGTAGCTTAATTTGTGGAGGGGAAAACTCTTGGTAGACAACTTCTGCTTGGCAGAGATTGGTACTTTTTTAATAGAGAAAAACTGATAGTCTAATATGAATGAAAATAAACTGTAAAGTTTTTTAACTTAGTACATAAATTAGAGCATGCAGTTTTAATGGGGCATGTTTAACTTGCAGTCATTATGTAAATTCATTCATTATTATAAATATTCATTATCTAAAGCTATTATGTAAATCCACCAAATCTACACATTTAGTGTAACACTAGAAGGAACATGGTGCAGAAGCTTGTAATCTGAAAATCTTATATTGTTGAAATGTCATCTGAATAAATTGCAGGTATTAGTTATTTTGTTCTGACATTTAAGAGCAAAGTGCAACATCAATAGCCGAAGAATGAAACTGGAATCTTAAAGAATTTGGGGTTGTCTGAAATATAATACTGCCTTCCAACACTTGTATGCTCAGCATGCTTATTATAGTTTCCATTTTAACAAGCGGGAACTAGAAATGTTAGTCAGAGGATAAAAGGTTCAGTGTTCCCCAACCTTTCTCAAAGCTGCCAAGGAACAAAGCTCTGCCGTTTCATTTTAGGACTTGCTTATGCATTACCTCTGTTACACAGCTATGTATTGAAAGGGTCTGCATGTGTGAAAGCTCAACATTGTTAGTGCTATGATTTGGAAGGTCAGTGTTTTACTCTTCTGTCCTATACCTATGAGTTGCCTTTTGGAGCTTGTAGCAATGCTCCAAATGTCCAGTTCTACTTATCTTGACTGTATTCTATTGTTTGATACACAATGGTGGCAAAAAATATTATTGCTAACATAAAGAGCCCATTTTAAGTCAGATTTTGGTTTCAGAAATAATTTGTGAAAGGTCCTGCGATGTTGAATCCGTCACCAACCATTCTGGTGATTACAGAGCCTTTCCTAACGCTCTCCTTCCCTTTTACTAGAAGGAAAGAATGAATCATTCTATATCCATGCTGTGTCCATTTCTCATAAGCTCATTTTCTTCATGGTAATGTGCATCCATC